CATTTTTATTTTCAAGCCGAGCGTCAATTGAAGAAAATTTATTGTGCAAACAAATATGCGGGGATTACGATTTACATATTTGTAAATAATGGGTCTTTTCGACTGCTAATAATAACGGTAATTTAATGTTAAAAACTATAACTAATTATCTAAGTCTGCAGAAATCTTATATCAAATCATATTTGAACATATTTGAACATAGTAATTACAATAGGACGTCTATCTACGAATGAAACATGTTTAAATAAAGAAGAATTCAGACATTGGAAGTTCCACTGTATTTCGAACGTTGTATCATTTTATATTCTGTATAAAACGTTATTTACCATTTCCTGTATAAGCTCAAATTGCTGGTTAGCATTCTATGGAAATTCTCCGAGTGCAAAGGGTTAAAATAGAGCAAATAGTTTACACGAATCACACACGAATATTGCGCAGCCATGTTGCGTACACACGCTAGAAGATTAAATCGTCAATTTCTCATGAAAAATTCTTCCAGGCCTTTGATCCCCAATTAGTCATCAAGGGTCGAATCTCCGAACCTGTTGCGCCAATAAATCGAACCGCTTCCCCTCCCCCCGTCGCCCGACAAAGTATTAATTTTTGTGATCGATGCGATCTAACGGCGCGATTGTAACAATCAGTCACTAAATTGATTCAGATTGAAGCGCGATATTAAGCGTAATCCCGCCCCTAACGACACGGGACCGCGCGTAACAGCGGGGGTGGTTCGGCAGACGCATTAAATTACGGTGGAATCAGCTGGCCTGCCCCTCCATTGACAGTTCGCAGCTGTAGTGAATTATCGTTCGGTCGGGTTAACGATAAGCTCGAACGCTCGGACGGGTCCGCCGCTTCGTTTCGCGTTTTTTTTTCGCTTCTTCTCCCCGCGCCGCCCCCGCACCGGCGGGTCGATCTGTCTTCGGGCCGCTGAAACAGCCCCGGAACACTTTCCGCTCACGCGACTGTCGGCGCTGCAGAACGGCTGAGAAATGATTTTCATCGGGGTTTGGTTATTAATTTCGTCCTGCGATACGGCGACACGAACTTCAAAGGGAATTTATGCGCGCCGCGGGGCCCGCTCGCCTGCGAATCGGGGGTGTTGAGGGATGGGGTGACGAGATCGGGCGGAATAATTTAAATATTTTACATTTTAATGGAATCAAATAACTGCCCTTCGTGTAATCCATCTTCTGCTACGATGGCCGTCCCGCGGCCCTCGCGAATCTTCTGCCGAGGGTGCTCCGGAAACCTGTCACACGCTATTAATATTATTTTAGCCCCGTGGAGGCCACGGTTGATCCGATAGATGCACATAGAGCGAATCCCCTGTATCGACGACTTAAAAATAGCCGTAAATTATTGACCGGCGGTGATACGACGCTGCCATTCTGTTTCTTAAATCGGACACAGAATTGCATTTCTTTTCGAATTTCACGAATTAACGCTAGATTTACGGAACCCGTCAAAATGATGGGTCACTGATTCTTTAATTTACGATTATTCATATTCTGGTTCCATTGTCATTGAAGTTGTATTAAAAAGCACTTTGATCGATTTATTTAAAAAACCATAAAAACAAAAAATGTCTAGAAGAAGTAGTTCAAGTATCTTAAAGAAGTCTAGAAACGGTATCTTAAACACGTCTACAAACAATTAGTTTGGATAATCGAGGTTCTATTACTCAATAAACACTGAACGTCTTAAAGACGTCCATTTTACGTCCATCTTAGGTCTGAACGTCGTACGCCCTTAAATTGCGTCTTATTCCGGACATTAAAAGGACATCCAATTCAGAACGTCTTTAAGACGTCTTAAAGACGTCCGGAATTGGACGTCCTTTTAATCTCTGGAATGAGATGTCTTTAAGATGTCCTGAATTGAACGTCCTTTTGGTGTCTGAAATAAGACGTCTTAAAGACGTCTATTTTAAGACGTACGACGTTCAGGCCTAAAATAGACGTAAAATGGACGTCTTTAAGACGTCCAGTGCTTATTGGGTAATATAACCTCGACTATCCGAACTAATCGAGGGAAAACTAGTGCGCGAACAACGGAGCGCTTATTTACAAGGTTTTGTTAACTCATAAAACCCGAAAACTACGAAAACTATGCGAGACTATGCGTTCGAATAAAATAGAAAGTTCAGACGCGATAGCAGAGCGATAGCGAAGGACCAAGAGCGACAGCAGAGGGCGAATCGTTCGATTATTAAATTTCCAGTGAGCAGCTACTGTAGCAGAAAATGGGGGTACGGGTGGTTCGGACCACCCCCTTCTGATTGCACCTCGGTACCCCTTTTGTCGACGAATCTGAGCACAACGACTCACGCTCGTAACGACTTGCCGGAAGCAAGCGACAGTTTTTGCGGCTCGCCATCGGCCGTGCCACCCGCCCCTCGGGTTCCATTCAACCCTCGTTTACATCTAACGCTTTAATCTTGAATATTCCGTCAGTTATTTCTAGACGCGGCCATTAAAAGGGTTAGCGTGACCCGACGTTAATTATTCCAAGGGCCGGCGCACGACAGAAATAAAATACACGCCGTCCTGTACCCGACACGCTCCGAGAGGGGTGAATCACCTGTAACTCGATTAAAGGGACCCGTCTCCTCTCCCGGCCGTAGGAATTCTTTTGATCTCATCGTTCGCGCCGCGAATTTTTCATGTGAATTTGCTACGGCGTGCTGCCTCCTGTCCGCGCCTTCGGTATTCAAATAAATCTCTTTCATTTGATTCGCTGGACAGTGTCGTCTCTTTGTGAACGCTGCTTTTCGCGATTCGGACGAGGAATTGTTTTCGTAAAGGCGCTTTCTCAGATAAAGATCTTCTTCTTCTTTCGTCTTTTTGACGTTAACACGTGACGATTACATAAATATTTAAATCTCATCCCATATTTCTGTGTTTTATCCTCTTCTATTTTAATTTATGATGAAGATTTGATACACGATCCGCTAAGCATGAATATCAACAATAGGAACGGAAATGAATAAAGACATATATACAAGAAGCAAAAATTGCCACGTTCGATTAGGATAGCTATCGAGGACGAAGGCGCGCTAATCAATGCAGCTCTGAAAGAAATCGTGGTGCAAGAGGTTAATGAAGTTCGGCAGGTTTTGTCTATTTTGTCCCGACTTGCAGTAACACAGCAAGACGATTACTATTCCATTCGTATTCCGCATTTTTGTTATAACTTTTTAATAAAACATTGAATGATCTTTGCAACGGTTATTAACGCTTTGCCCTACAACCACGTTTGAGAGACGTGGGCCAGATAATCGAGCCAGAAATGATTATCACGTCTGGGAGACGTGGTAAAAAAATCGAGCCAGAAATGATAGCCGCGGCGCGTCAGTCAGGCCAAATATAAACATAACTAGTTAGGCTCGTGTTAGATTAGGGGATCTGTGTTTTGTGGTTTTTTGTTTTTCGTCATTTAATTGTTTTATTAGTAGCTAAATTAGGTGGATTTAAAAAGCAAGAGTCTTTTGATTTTCTTTTATTATTCTAAGCAATTGCAACCTTTAAGAAAAGCATCCTAGTTATGGTTTAATAGACTGGTCGCTCTATCATCTAGAAAACAAAAATTCAAGTCGTTTATTCCAATTCTAAAAAAAGTTATTGCATTTTGAAAAGCGTCCGAATATTAACGGAAGTCACTGCATTTATATTCCGTAAGACATGTGCGATTGGCACAACTTCAGACGTTTCGCGCAACCGTGAAAAGACTGGACGAGTGACCGACCTTGTTGTTGTTTGCGGTACATAAAATATTATTGAAACATAAATCGTAGAGCAAGGAATTAATATGGTATCTAAGAACTTTATATTATAACTTTACATACGGAAAAGTTTCAGTTGAAGTTACAGTTTAACAACGAAAGAACAAGAATTTCTGGCTTCATTGCGTACCAGATAGACCGAATTAACGCACAAGCGTGAAAAATAAGCTGTCTCCGACACATGGACCGTTTATTTTGAAAGTGGTGTAAGTCCTTTTTTAAAAAAAAGTAAGATATGACGTAATTTATGCTTTATTTAGTGTAAACTTTTTGTTTATAACTAGTTAGTAGTTAATATCTTAAAAAATGCCAATGCTTTGTTCAATTTAAAATTGACCGGTAAAAGAAATTGCGTAATCATTGATTATGAAAGTGGTGTAAGTCCAATTTCCATAGACAGGTGGCGGGGTTAGTGGCCACCGGTGGCTTCACAATTGCTTTATTTGCTATTTATATTGTTTTATTTTCGTGCCAAAAGTTACTATTTTAGGTTACTTATTTTATTTTCCTCCAACAATGGATAATTTCATATTCACATCAGATAGTGATATAGGTAAGAAGAAATAGTAAATCAATGTTATTTTATGACAATTGAAAATAGTTATTTTATTTTATTTTAAATAAATTTACACGGAAATAAGACCCACGAATATGAACAAAAGAATAATCTTAGAATCGGAGGATGGAGATAATTCTACTATGAAAAATAAATTAATGAAGCGTAAAAAGAGAAGAAGAATTATAGAGATAGAATTTTCATCAGATGAGGATATTGTTACTGAGAACTTGGATTCTGTAAAAGAAAATAAAGGAAAATATACGCAACGAATAAACAAAATTAAGCGAAATGCCGGACAAGAGTACTTTACAAAAAAAGGAAAATTCATTCCAGCAAAAAAAGAAGGTGACATTTGTTATTTCAAAATTGAAATTAAATGATATTTACAATTGACTAATTATGAAAGTGGTGTAAGTCCATTTGCAGCCTGGAAATTGTATATTATTTTAGTTAAATTCGCCTAAAAGAAATTTATATAATCAAACTACATATTGATAAATCAGTACAAACATTCCCAGACTTTACATAATCGACCTATATTTTTTAATTGTCAGATCTGCTAACATTCAATTCTCTCGAAACGAAAGAAAGTGGACTTGCACCACTTTCAAAATAAACGGTCCACATGTCGGATGATTCCAATGTACTTTTACTCACCGTCAGGCACCGCGTGGCTCGTCATCAGGAAGTTGACGCAGGCTGCGCCAGTCCCATGGCCGATCAGCGTCACGTTCCTGGGATCGCCGCCGAAGTAGCCAATGTTCTCCTGCACCCAGTGCAGCGCCGCGATCTGGTCCATCAACCCGTAATTTGCCGGCGACCGTAAGTGCGAATCCGTGTTAGCATTTAGAAAGCCTGTAATCAAAACAAGCCCGCTTATGGTCGTTGCGGCAGTCTCTGCCGCGCTATCAGCGCGGGCACCGTAACCGCGCCACGAAATTACCGGGCCCCGTCGTAATCGGGATTAATTCGAATCTGCGGATCGGCCGTGGATTACTACTCAGAGGTTGTAAATTATTCTTTACGAGCTCCTTCGGACTGATCGTCCTGGTCGATCGGCGGTACAGAGATATTTACGACGCCGGTTCAACATTTTCGTCGTCGCTTCCTCCGTGAATTTATCGTGACACGTTTCCGGTTTTCTTCGCGATACTTGGTACGCAATCGATTTCTATCGTCGAAACGGTCCGAAAGAACCGACGTTTTTTAAAACAGTTGTAAAGTAATAAACATCGTGATCATTGTGATATCGATTTTGAAATCGATTGCACAGCGGTTGCGTTTCGGTTCTACGAAGTCTGCGAACCTTACGCATTCACAATAAAAATTAATCAATACGACACACACGGAACTGTGAAAATAGTAGACAAATTTCGGATTATTATTTCTGGACTATGGAGCTTTATGTTAATTTCAGTATTCGATTGTTTTTAGAAAAGTCTGGATGGGGAACAAATTCAATTTACGAACTAAACATTTTTTATAGTAACTAGAGATCATTAGTGTTGTTGCTAATGTACACTCTTTCTTGTAGCGAAAAGTGTAATACTACATTTTTTTTGCTCGTCACATTAAATTTAATAAAAGAAGACGTACAGTTTCGTTTAATTGTTCTCTGTTGCGATAAATATGGAAAATCAGCAGTCACGTTAAAATATGTACAGTGGCCCACAAAAATATTCGTACACCTTTTAAAACCTATTTCAAAACTGAACAAAATGACTTGAATTTTGGACTGAAATGCTTTCTTTTGTAATTTTCCTGTTACTTGGGATGACAAACAAAGATAAATAAATATGGCGTTTTTTCAAACGTGTACGAACACTTTTGTGGGCCACTGTACACTTCATCGTTTGGTATACGTATAAGGTTGCAATAATATTCGCATTTAATTTACATCGTGGGATTTAATTGATACTTTTGGGATCGTTTTATATTGTCGGCAATTTTTATAACTTACAACAAAGTAAGGAATCAATACGGTTAAAAAAAATCATCAACACTTATAAATGCTTCTTCCTTTGTTACGTAATAATTTTGTCGGAAGCATGTACATGTGTAGACAGTGATATGCAGCTGAAACAGCGGGTTGTTAATTAGTACAGGTTCCTCAAAACTGTTTCAAAAATCTACCAACGGTTTCCATGCTCTGCTAACACATCATAATTCCAACATCATAATTTAACAGTTCGGAACAGTTATTTTCGAAACCTTTTCAATCCCAGCTTTCAACCTCCGTACGCGGCTCAGGATGAAATTTCACTTCTTCTCTGTTTCGGATGCACTGTAATATATTTGATTGTTTTCCGTTCGGGTTCTATCTGATTACGTGTTTTTGCAAATGGCGAAATTACAAACGGAACGAAGTTTGTTAATTTAAAGCGCGAGAGGAAAAGCAAATGCAGAAAACTTCATGCAACGATTTTCGAGGAGATTGTAAGGATTAAAGTAGCTTAGGAGGTTTTCTTGGAGATTGCCAAGAATTTTCGAGACAATTTAGAAGATCTTGTAATTTTCCAAGACCTTCTAGAACCTCCTAAGACTCGGTAAGATGTTCTAATTCTTCTAAGAACTTCCAAGTTACTTTGGGGAATAGATACTCGGGAATATTTTCAGGATCTTTTTGGATTCTAACAACTTTTTAGAAGATTATTCGAGCCTTGCGGCTCGTTTTTACAGTAATTGACGATCGGTGACCGTAAAAACGAGCAGCAATGCTCGAATAATCGTATCTCCTCTTCCCAAATTGCCCATTTTTGTGTACAATCTGAGCGTCGATCGGGGAGAATTTACTGTAATTGGCTTCATTTGATCTTTCCCAAGAATTTTCCCAGCTTTTGTTCAAAGCTCTACGACTCAACTAGCACGTTGTAAGTCCTCGAGAAATTTTCGGATACCCGTGAGGATCATTCAGGATCTTCTAAGTATCTTAAGAGCTCCCAACACCTTGCGTAGGACCTTTTAAGATGTGACGACACCTTCCAAGATCTACTATAATATACTCGCGAAGGTCCTGAAGCTCATTCAGAGGATATTGTAAATCCTTATAGGATCTTCATATATTCTTCGCGATCATTCCAGACACTTCTCGATACTTCGGATACTTGTGTATCCTTTATGTGTATCCTTGTGTATCTTAATGGAAGAAAAGATGTGCTATGTTCTCGATGCACGCTTACAGAATGAGAGAAATAGAGAGAGAGAAAGAGACAAAGAGAGAGAGAGAGCAACGAGAGCAGAGAGGGAGCAGAGAGAGAGAGCAGAGACAGAGCAGAGAGAGCAAAGTGAGAGAGCAGAGAGAGCAGAGAGAGCAGAGAGAGTAGAGAGAGCAGAGAGAATAGAGAGAGCAGAGAGAGAGAGCAGAGGGAGAGAGAGCAGAGAGAGAGCAGAGAGAGCAGAGTGAGAGCAGAGAGAGAGAGAGAGAGAGAAAAAGCAGAGAGAGCAGAGAGACAGCAGAGAGAGCAGTGAGAGCAGAGAGGTTCCCGAGGATATTTGAAGTAACTTTTTCCTCAGCGAAAATGCAATCCGCGGCTTCGTTTACGAGTTATTAACGAAAAACAGTGACCAATAGGAGGCGAGCTCGGCTGGCGCGCGGCGGCCGAGCGAACGAGCGCACGGAGCTCGGTTCCGCTCATTGGCCCCGTCGTCTAGCGCTGAACGAACTCGCCCCTCATTGGTCAGCGTTTATCATGAATAACTCGTTAACGATGCCTCGGAGAAAATTTTTGTAAAGGAAAAAGTTGCTTCGAATCACCTCAGGAATCCCTCGCTTTTCGGAAATACCATAATTTTGGGACACCCACTACATCGGATTCTTAACACTTTAATATCTCTCAAGCTCTTCGCGGATCTACTACAGCTGTTGCTCAAACTTTCGATGACACGCGTAGAACGTTTTCTGGGACTTCATAAAATATTCACATAATCTTCCAGGATCTTCGCGAGCTTGCAGAATCTAGCGCGACCATCGACGATCTACCATCGCCTGCTGAACACGGATTCTTAAAAAGCAGACAAAGAGAAAAGAATGGATGGAATTCATTATTGAAAGAGGTGATTCCGGGTTCAAAGGCATTCACAGCATTGCATTATCTTTCATTTCGTTTGACGCGCCGTGAATTCTGTGCGCGTGATTCCGATCTTTTGAGCGAATGCGTGGCGTCGGCTATGGAACGTATTTCCATAGAGGATATTTACCATCGGGACATAAAGTCTTTTGTGGTGAACACACGCGGCAACGGTCTCCTTTTCTAGCGAAATTAAATGATTCTACAGCGTTGGTTCGGTACATTCGGCCCCGAGGGCGGCCGGTCTTAACAACGGAGGCATTTCTACTGTTCGGAAATAGGTCAACTTCGTTCCGCTATCTGTTCGCCGGAATCGCTGCCAAATCGATAATTTGGAAAGCTCGTCGACACTCGTCGAAAAATGCGAGGCCCCGAACAACGGGGCGCCGATTTGAAAGGAATTTTCAAGCGGCAAGTCGTTCCGTTTATTGTCGCGCAAACGAGCAATTGCCAGAGGCTGGGAATATCTAGGGTGTGAACCGCTCCCCCAGACTGTACATATTTCCTAAGATCGGCGAATCCTTTTCTTCTCAAGGCTGGCATCAACGTACGCGTCTTCCGTTTGCGTTTTCAAAATCATTAACACGTTAAGCGTACAGTGTCGTCACCGGAAGTTCGCACAATGTCGAAGTCAGTAAAATAAAATTAACCGAAACTACGATCTAGGTGAAGTTTACCACAGGAAATGTCGGTTTAACCCTTTGCACTCGAAGCCGAATTAACGCAAAATTGAAAATAGTTTTATCGACCCACGGAAAACTGTTTCCATGCAACAGTTACGCTTTCGACGGCTCTTTAAGTATAAACAAATTTGATTAATAAAATGATTTTCGGACGTGACTTAACAATTTCTAAATGGCGCCTCGGAGTCAAAGGGGGGCGCACTCGTGCGCAAAGGGTTAATTCTTTTGTGTTCTACAAGAAATCCTAGTAACATTCGGTTCGTTCGTTATTGTACAATGAAAATTAATTTTGAGATCTAGTTAAAAATTAGCGTAACTTAACATGTCGATTAGATAGTTAGTTTCGGAATTTCAAAAATCCTTCTTTTATTATTGTCATCTTAAGTCTCTGACGATGGATCATTTTCATAGTTGTACAATCGATGATATTTATAATCATTTCCTGCTATATTCATGGATTTTTCCAAACGTATCTTTTAAGACACTTTTTGTAGATTTAGTCTTTCCGTTGTTCCTCGTGCAACCGTTATTTATTTAACGATTTAATTAATATTTTATGTTATATATAATGTTTTATAATATAATAATGTAATAATATTTATCGATTTATATTTATTTATATCTATTTATCTATTTTTATTTAATTTATATATAATAATAATAATATAATATAATAATATAAATAATAATAATATAAAAATAATATAGTAATTTAGTAATATATATCAATTTATATTTATTTATCTATTTCTGTTTATTTTATATTTATAATATAATAATTTAATAATATTTCTATGTAATTATATATTTATTATTTTATATATTTTCTAATATTTATACTATATACCACATTTAATATTGATCGAGAAACGACTAATTCAGCGATAACAATAACGTTTTCATTTTCAATCGCGAGTAGCTCGCGAAAGTGTTCGGGACCGAATTGATGGAGGGGAAAAAAAATGCGGGGAACCACGGGCACCGTCGTATCCAATTAAACGGCGATGAATCCGGCACCGGTTCGTTCGGCGATCAAATAATCGGACGATTTATTCGCTGGTTCCCCGACATGTTCTATTTTGCATATCGTTCAGGCCGGCGCGAG